TCAAAATACGGTACATGCAATCCACTTTATTTCTTGTTAGTATTAGTACTCCAACTATAAAAATTACATACGTCCTAATTGAGTAATCTTGCAATTATCCGAGTAATTATATATCTTGCATGTTATTGTTTAAGGGTGGGTTTGATAAAACTGAAATCTGAAAACTGAAATTTAAAATCTGAAATCTGAAAAGTGAAATTTGAATCCATTAAATTATTGAATTGTTAAGTATTAAATTAATACATTTGAGTGCATATCACATTTAACGATAAATGAATAGCTCATCACTTAATTTTAGGAGTAAGTTTTGTTTAGGAAATTCAGTACCACTTAATTAATTCATTTGTTTAATTTTTGGTTATCAAACGGTCTGAACATATTAAGATCTGAATCCATTAAATTTAAGTGTTGAATTGAATTATCAAATAAGGTCTAAGTGCTTAAACTTATTGTGATAATGTCTGCATCTATTGTGCTGGTACATATACTATATAGGGTGCAGTTAAAATTGACAATCCTAGAAATCTCGAATCCGCTAACCATAGCAGTGCTAAACTTTTCTAGCAAACCAGCATTGCATGGTGGACTAACTAACAATAACGAGTTTCCATTTTTGCACTTTGTTTTAATTGAATAAAAAGGTTTCAAAGAAGTTAAGAGTGCATGCTGCGGCAGTGGTCCTTTTCGCGGAGATCGCAGCTGCGGAGGCAGGGGAGGATTCAAAGAATACGAGCTATGTGACAATCCACAAGATTATTTCTTCTTTGACTCCAATCATCCAACTCAAGCGGCCAACCAGCAATTGGCGGAGCTCATGTGGGCTGGACCCTCCAATATCACTTGGCCTCATAATCTCAAATCACTTTTTCAGATTTCATTGTAACCTGATCTACTCAAGATATGGATGGTGCGTTTGGGAGTTGAGGTTTCAGCAGAAACGAAGAGAAAGTTGTGCTCTTTTATGTTTGGGACTCTCAAGTGAAACCGAAAAAGAAAGAAACAAACGGATTTTGAAGAATTCCAAGTGCTGCTACCTTGTAAAATTTTTCCTACCGAAAACGGGCGGAAAGCAAAGGACAACTGAGGGAAGTTTGCAAAACTTTTCCAATTTGTCCGCTTTATTCTCACAAAACTATTGAATAAAATTTTATTGATATATATATATATATATATATATATATCCAAAATCATTGTACTTCCTTCTAAAACTTTCAAACAACATCAAATTCTCTTCCATTCCTTTTTCTTCTTTTCTTTTCTTTCATAACTTAACATTTCTCTGCAGTTCGGTCAAAAAATTTCTGTTAATAATAGTGACAAGAGCCCTGGAATTCGAAAGGCGGGTCATGCTACCTATGGAAGCCAAATGCCACACAACATTGACCGTTTTGTTTTTTCATGCCAAGTCTTTGTCCACGATCAATTCTACCTGTGGAAATATACACTATTCCTTTGAATAATGAAACTGACATCTAATGTTAGGCTTCTTTTCCACATAGAAAAGAAAAAGGGAACATCAATTCTCTCTATTGATTTGCTGACCACGCTTCCGGGTCATGCTAACTATCATACTTTTCTAAAAAAATCTTTAATATGATCCATGGTCCAAATATCCGAAAACAAGCATGACAAAAAAGTGCAATAGCCCTTTATTTGCTTTGATGAAACCAAATGCTACTGATGCGATGTCCAGAACCATTTTTGTTTCCATATCCAATTCCCCATACATAGTAGTAGCTCCATATTGTCCATTAGCTTCACTTTTGTTCAAAGGAGACATTTTAACACCAATGGAAATCATTTTCCGTGGCAAAATAGAGAAGATGACCTAATATATAGCTTATTGACTGTTGTTTTCAAGTAGAGGGACCGGCATTGAGTTTGAAAATTGACGCTAAAATTGACGCCAGATTTGAACCTCAATCTTCTTCTACAAGTAGCAGACTAATTCAATATTTAGATACATTTGCTACTTTGCTTGAATTGATACTTTCTTAGTAAACAAGCGAACAAGAAAACTGGAACACATTACAAAAATCTTGGCTTAAACTTCTTAGCACTATTGTAATGCCTGTGTATCTTTTGATTTTCAAATGTGTATGTATCTGTGTCATATTTGATTTGATGCATTTTCTTTCATTAGTGTAAATTTATTCGATGAAATTTATTCTTTGTATCAGTAAAGAATAAATTACATATAACCCCCTAAAGTTTTACATAATGTCAGATGACCCCCTAAGATTTCAAAATAACTATACAACCCCCTGTAGTTTTATATAATGTGAAAAATGGACGGAATGCATAATTATTTATGGTGATTAAGCCACCTGTGCTTTAAAAGTGCGTATTATGAAATCATAATATTCACTTAACTTCTTTATGGTTTACATAAATATCCATTTTACCACCTGTAATTTTTATATTTATCCGTGTAATCCCCCTATGGCTTTATATAAGGCAGATAAATCATCGCTCGATTTACCATGTAAATAAGGGCACCACTAGTATTTCAATTAATGACGGTCCATAGAATATTTTTCGTTAAATTTCTAGTTTACATTAAATCATAGGGGGTGAAATGAATATTTTGAAATGTAAGAGGGATTATGTGGTAATAGATGAAACCACATGGGGATTATTAGTAATTTATCCGAAGAAAATAATCCTCATATAAAACCAACATAAAACTTCAATCCAACTTGTACTTAGAAAAAGAAAAAATCCAGGCACTGTACCATAAAGATGACGAAAGAATATAGAATTAAGCTTTAACCTGGCTAATTCGTGTATCCAACTCTGCTTAATTGTAGTATTAGTTGTCCTTTGCAGGTCTAACAATCCCATCGTATTGTTTCCATCATGTTGACCATCATCGAAAAACCATTGCTGCCCTCTTCGTCTTAGGTGATTCACTCATTGATCCTGGAAATAACAACTACATCAACACAAGTACATGTTTCCTGGCCAACTTTCCACCGTACGGAGAATCTTTCTTCAAATATCCCTCGGGAGGTTTTGTGATGGCCTTGTTATCCCTGATTTTATTAACTGGTGGCCACCATCCAGTTTTAAAGGGTTCAAATTTTGCCTCCCACCAAATGTCACATTTAAAGTGACTTGGCTTTCAAAAAATTTAGGTGGGTATGTAGTACACCCGTCTGATCCAGTGGTGGTTCAGTTCCCTCCGGATTTATTTTTGAGCCTCCTTAGGTCTGTCATTCCCTTAAGTGTATGATAGATTAGATTATACAACAGTTGTCGTTTTCGAAAAAAAAAGTGTTATCCTGATTTTATTGGTAAGTTTGTTGGAGGTAACCCGAAAAATCAACAGAATGTTGAATGTGGAGAACCGCGTTATGTATACACGATAACTTGATTGAAAATGTATACATAGCAAATGTAGGGACTGATTTTTGTTTATTAAAAGGATTTTAAATTAGGGCAAATTACACTTTACCCCCCTATGGTTTAGTATTTTTTTGTATATATAACCCCTCTATGATTTCAAAAGTTATACATAATCTTCTTATGGTTTGGATTAAAGTGTTAAAGTAACGGAAATGATCATTCATAACAGAACCTATGAAAATATCGAAATTATCCTTGTTTAAAAATTAAAATGGATAAAGTGACTAAAATATATAAACATAATATACCTGACATACTAACCCCGTATATTTTTATGTTTTACCATATAACCTCCTTATGATTTAATATTTTACCATATAACCCCCTTATGATTTTCAAAATATACACATAACCCCCCATGTGGTTAATAAATAATTTTCAATTTACATAAGGGTATTTTTGATATTTTAGGTGACTCTGTCACAGATTGCAAATTCCGTCACTTTGATACTTTAATTCAAACTATGAGGGGATTATGTATAGTTTTTAAAATCATAGGGGGTTATGTACAAAAATATTAAATCACAGGGGGTAAAGTGTAATTTGCCCTTTAAATTATAGTATTATTTTATGTGAGAATTATCATGATAAATATGAAAAGAATATAACTTAGAGTTTTTAATAAGATCTTATTAAAGAATACTATTAAAAAGAAAGGACATTAGTTTTAATTACTTATTATTTTAGATTTTCAAAATAAAAATAATTATTATTTAAAAACTAAAAGAAAAGAACGTAGGATAGTAGTATTATTTTTTTTTAAAAACACTTAAAAAAGTAAAAAAAAAAAACATTTTATTAGTTTTAATTTTAGTCAGTCATTTGTCTTTCATTTGCTTTCCTGAAAACGATATATAGGAATCTCGTTCCCTAATAGATCTGGAGTCGACTTGTGAGAGACATGGGGAAGGCCCTCAAGGAGAAAAATCCAGCCAAAAAAAAAGAAAAAGAAAAAGGTTTCTGTCTTGCTAGGATTATTAATTAAGCTTGTAGGCTTGGATAGAAAATTATGGCAGAGTCCAGAACAATCAAGTCTTAGTATGTTATATTAAGCAAAAAACAAAAAAAGGTATGAATTCACGGTAGATTTCTTTGAAAAAGAAAAATTAAACAAAGGTTGCACAGCTCCAAAATAGAACCACTGCAACATATTTCTACATGAAGGTACGTACCAAAATCCATGGCTTTTGTATTGTATGGACATTGCTCTATATGTCATATTACTTTGTTAAACCAGGGTTTGGGACGAGTACGGTTAGCAAGAGGTGCAGTTGATACGATAGTTTTATTTTTTTTAATAATTTTGTGTACATTTATATAATTTTATTGTATTTCATAACATACAACAAAAAGTTATATGAGTTTACACTAAATCATGAAATACAACAATCGCACCAATTGTATGTAATACTAACTGTAACTGCCCCCTTTGCCATTAAACCGTAACAGTCTCAACCAATATACAAGTTCAACCTCGACACATGCTGATTGAATCCACCAAAAAACAATAAGAAGGCACAAAGATTACAACAATTAAACAAAGAAGCGAGGAGTAAGCCATCAGGCAGCAGTCAATATGAGGGAACTATGGCCTATGGGACAAAGGTTCGCACTCTGCTATTTTCCATACATTTAAGGCGAGATATGCGAACTATAGGGATGTTCTTTAGAGCTTGATGCAGCTCGCTTTGTTCAGCCAAATTCATCACTTTCTCTACCAATCCATCAGACATATCCACCAAAAAAAGGGATTCCAGCTTCCTCAAGTTTTCAGCGCTCAAAGGCAACTCCTCTAGTAGTTTACAGTCTGTCATGCTTAGCCTTTGGAGACTAGGCAGGGTGTCATTTTCCACCTTCAGCCATTTCAACCTTTCTAAACTTGTAATGGACAATTTCTCGAGCTTTCGAAACCCTCCTGCCCTAAAAAGTAGCATCTCACCTTCATAAGCATGTTGGAGGGTAAGTTCTAGCAGATTGGGTAAATCTTGAAGGGATCCTATCCCTTTTGTTCCATCATCCTCCCTTAATCCGCTGTTGTCCAAAACTAAATTGGTTAAGCTTTGGAGAGATAATACCCATTGTAGTATATTCCCTATGTGCCCCTGCAACGAAAGAATTTCGAGAAGTCGAGGCGTCGGAGAAATGGGATGCCGTAGATCAAGGGTCATATCATCTTCAATTGACTGGACAACCAATGTTTTAAGATTGGTGAGCTTCTCCAGAGTGCAAAGGAGCTCCTTGCCATCTTCTCTTCTTAGCTTTGTAATGCTTAACGATCTCAATTTCGTTAGCTTCCCTATTTCTCTCAAAATTTTCTCATTATCTGCCTCTATAGCCTGCAAATTCTCCAGGGAAAGAAGCTTTCCAATTTTATCTGGGGATTTAAAGCCACGTAGACCGTGATATTCTGCAGATATTTCTATTCGACCTACATAAAGGACATGAAGTTTCCTCAGCTTCAGAATTTCCACTGGGATCTTTGTTACATTAGTGTAAAATAGATCTAAAATTTCAAGATTCTGAAGCTTCCCAATAGATTTGGGGACGATCCGAACTTTTGTTCTTCGAAGACAGAGACATTTAAGAAGGAATAATTTGAAAACTTCCTTTGGGATATCTTCCAATGGTGCCTCCGACAAATCCAACACCTTTATCAACTTAGAACCACCACATAAAAACTTGGATACCACCGGTCCTGATATACGGCCATTGTACCTTAAGAATTCCAGAGACCGAAGACTCTTAAAGCAGTGGGTCAGCTCCTGGGGTTCTGGATTATCAAAATCATATAGTGCTAGCCGTCGAACTTTATTAGAGCTTTGCCCGCTGTAATTTCCTACGGCTATTGTTATGAAATTCTGTTCCCTGCTTTTAGAAACAATCATGTCACGCAAAAAATCATGAACTCGAAAACATTTTATTCCATCACAATTTGCTGTTAGCACTTGGACTAAGCTTCTGTTGACAAGTTCATGGAAGCCCCGATTAGCGATATCAAAAGTTGACATTCCTTCTTTCTCTTCCACAAATCCTTGTGTAATCCATTTGTCAAGCATATCATCCACACCTATTAAGGCATCTTCAGGATAAATGCTTAGATACAAGAAACAGTTTTTGAGATTCTGGGGCAAGTCATTGTAACTAAGAAGGAGTATCCTTTTGATTGGATCAAGTTTACCACTAGCATCAAGTTCATCACCAAGGTTACGAAGAATCGTTTCCCAATCATTTATTCTGTCCTTATCTTTGAGAGCTAATACCCCACCAATAGTGGCAATTGCAAGGGGCAGGCCCTCACATTTCCTCAATATTCTTGCTGAAACTTGCTGTAGATGTGGAGGACAGTGATCGCTTTGAAATGTTGTGTGGCAGAAAAGTGTCCAGGAATCCTTTACAGAAAGAGGCTTCATCCAGTGGCTATAGTTATGTGATCCAAAACGAGCTGCTTTGGCAACATGAATTATCCGTGTGGTCAATATAGCTTGACCATGAAAATTGCCATCCGGCAATACATTTTTAAGAGCATCCCACAAACGTTCACTCCACACATCATCAAGGACAAGAATGTAACTTCGATCTTGGAGAAAGTCTTTGACAAATGCACTCAGCCTTATGATATCTGTAGAATTCATCAGTTGATGAGGGACTGGTTCATTGATCTCATAAAAAATTTTATGAATCATGGTCTTGAGAATCACCATGATATCAAAAGTTCGAGAAATAGTTAACCAAACATGGATCTTGAATTGCGTTTTTACAGCTGTATCTTCGAAGACTTTTCTCACCAGGGTGGTCTTCCCGAGCCCTCCCATCCCCACAACAGCAATTACTTTAAGGTGGGAATCATTATTTAGGACACGTGAAATGAGCTCTTCTTTGGGTGTTTTGATGCCGACAAGTTTATCTTCTTCAAGAAGGATTGAAATCTCACGAATGTCATTGTCTAGATTTGCAGCAGAAGTAGAACTAGAGCCTGCAGCGGAACTAGAGCAGGTTTCCTGATTACCATATATGGGCTGATATCTCTTGTGTCTTTCAGAAATATCAATTACTCTGGACTTCAGATTTTTCATCTCGGAAGAAATCCTACAGCGAGCCCTTAGATTCTTGATTGAGTAATAGATTTTTTGAACACGGCCATGGAAGCCATGAGCTTGATGATGAGCAAAACGCAGTATGAATTCATCAAGAACATCTTCTGTGTCATAAGCAACTTCGCGCACTTGCCTGATCCATTCTTAAAGCTCAAAAACATCATATTCTCTATCTTCGGCATCTCTGAGGAAAGCCCTCAAGCTTCCCAATTCATCTCTAACAAACTCGACTTCTCTTTGAAGTTCTCCTCCCAAATTAGTGCCCTGATGCAGGAGAAAGGAGGACAGCTCTTTGAGTACATAAGCTACTGCAGTCTCTGCCATTCTGAATCACTCTCATTTCAAGCTTTAAAATTTATATGGTTAAAGTTTTAAGATGCTGCTTTTTTAAAAAATATGAAGAAGAGTGGAATAGGAGCAGTAGCTAGAAATTCAGAAGGGAAACTGATGAAAGCATGGGCCAGAGCTGAGATAAAAACAAGCGAGCCACTGGTGGAGGAAGCAGCAGCAATTTGAATGGGAATGCAAATGGCTCGAGAAGCCAAATGGCTCGAGAAGCCAAATGGAGAGAAGTAGAGTTCCAGTCTGATTGCAAGGAGGTGGTGGACGTGATAGACAAGGAAATGGAAAAGAAGCCAGAGTAGCTATCATCCTTGAGGACATTGCAAACATGAGATGTTTGTTTGAAAAATGTACTTTCTCTTTTTCCATAGAGCAGGGAACAAGTGTGCACATAGATTAGCAAAGTTTGTGGTCAAACTAACTAGAAATGTTGAATGGGAAGAGTGCTTTCCCATTTGGCTCTATGAGAGTGCACAAAATGATTACAGAGGAAGGAATTTTGATGTATCAAATCTTGTAATATCATGTTTATGAAATGCAAATCTAATTTTTGACAAAGAAAAAAAACCCAAAACGATATGTGAAGTTTGAAACTCTGCAGGCATGAATATGGTGGTAAATGGATATGTAAAACTATGCTCTGAAGTCCGTTATAGTCATGTTCCAAGAAACTACTGCAATTTTCCAGACCTTTAATTAAACAAATAATAATTGTTTCATCACAATTAATTGAGACAAATTGATTTTGCAAGTGGAACTTGCAATGCAGTAGCTTTAAATGCAGTATTAATCCAGTCTGCGGCTTCCATCCCTTTCAATGCAGTCTTAATTTAGCAACACTTGATCATTCTGCAGCTTCAATCACTTTTCTACCTTATTAAATTTCCCAACACTTTTTCATTCCCACAAATTAGTTGTAAAGTAGTTAGTTCTTGTGTAGTTGTAGTTTCCTCCCCTCTGGTGGTTTTGTGGGAGCCTCATCCCAATTTGTGCGAGGCACAATTTACATTGTAATGCATCAATCCAGATAATGATAGTAATGATGATGATGATGATAATAATAATAATAGATTTGAAAAAGGAAAGAAGTTTTCATACTAAAAAGCAGAATAGGAAATTGACTCAAAAAAGGGAATTTTTCTAAGCTTTAGCCTGTGCATCAGAGCGGAATTGGGCTATTTATAAAATTTGATTCACTATCAATCCAAATTTAAGCCGTGAATCACCAGACTTGTAGAAGATATCTTGGTCCAAAATTTTCTGTTAATGACAGTGACAAAAGCCTTGGAATTCTAAAGGTGGAAGATTCATGTTATTTTTTAGGGATAATTTCAGAAACCTCCTTTGAGGTTATATCACCTAGCTCCCCTAAACTTTTTAAAATCTCACTTAACACCCTTGAAGTGATAGTAGGGCTGTTAGGCCCCAAAACAACCTAAGAGGGAGGGGGTGAATTAGCTTTATTAAAAAACTAATCAAACTATGGACACTTTTTGTTCAATATGAAATTTATCCTCTTTTCTAAATGATCACATAATAAATTAATCAATGAATGAACAATATCACTTGAGAGAAATAGAAGAGATAAACAATTTAAGAATCACAACATAATAATAAGTAAATGAGAAGAAAGGAATTGCAAACCAATTGACTGCCAACCTCCTCTTGAACTTAAAGATCAATTCAAATAAGTTTTTTCAAGTTGATGAAATACAATTAATCTTATGTACAAAGGAAGACTCACTTCCTCCTTACCCTAACCTCCACTCAGTCAAGTTAGGAAGTTTTACTGTCCCTCAAGACAACCCTCATAAAGTTATACTATTGAAGTATTCACTTACAAATGAAAAGTTTACAATAAATTTCCTACCACCAAGATTACAAATCTTTCTTGGAGAGTGTTTTCACACTAAAACTACTTTATATCTTTTGTATCTTCAATGTGTAAAAGTTGTTTGAAATTTCTGACCATACTCTATTTATATGAGACCAAAAAAGTACTTCTTTAATGCTTCCAATGGATAGAAGGTAGCTGAAGAGTCAATTAGCCGTTGGAAGTATCGGACGTCCGGTACTACCGTTGCTTGCGTCCGATAGCAGATAGAGAATTTAAAAGATTCTATCGGACTTTTGGTACTTCTGATGCTTGCGTCCGAGTTTGAAGGATTCTATCGAACGTCCGGTACTTACGATACTTACGTCTGATAGCAGACAGAGAGTTTGAACGATTATCTTAATTCTATCGGACGTCCGATGAGAATGTTCTGCGTCCAATATGATCTGCCCTGTTTATCGGACGTCCAGTATTGATTTTGTGAGCGTTCGACAGCTTTTGACAACCTCTATCTTCTATCAATTTGCTCTTGTTCTTTGAATCAAATTGTTTCAAAACTGAAAAGACTTCTTATTGAAAAGAGATTAGTAATATCCAATTGTTTTGTAAACATCAAAAGACAGGGATCAAGATCATTATTCTCTTCCTTTTTTATGATGACAAAACAATGGATGATGATAAAAAAATACCAATCTCATAGCATCTCCTCCTTACACATTGCATCCCTTACTTAGCTAAAACATCCAAAATAACTTCCCTTACATCAGAATAACTCCCCATTACATATTGCATCCCTTACTCAGCCAAAACACCAAAACTATTAAAATCATCAGAATATCATTAGATCATCATTATTCTCTCCCTTTTTGTTATCATAAAATTAGAGAGTAATTGCCATAAAAAAAATAATAACAGCTGCAACCATCATCAGTCAATAACAGAAAAATAACACCAAAAGAGAACAACCAATTGGTTAAGAATTTTTGAAACCAAAAGATAACAATATTCAAACCAAATAGATTTTGAACTTTTGCAAATAGGGAAACAAAATTTTTTAAAGTATCATTTTTATGAGCAAGAAAAATCATCCAAGTGTATTTAGAGTAATCATCAATAATCACTGGATAATATCTCTTACCATCCAATCTAGCAATTTGTGTAGGACCGAACAAATTAAGATGTAAAATCTCTAATGATTTTGAAGTAGAAGCACATATTTTTGGGTTTAAAAGATATTTTGATTTATTTTTCAAATTGACAAGTATCACAAATTTTATCTTTTTCAAACTTAATTTTTGACAAATCTCTAACAAGATCTTTTTTTTGAAAATTTCTTTTAACAAAAATATATTGAAATGACAAAATCTTCTATACCAAAATCAAGAATTTTCATTTGAAACTTTAAGACATTGAAAGTTAGAGAGATTAATATTTTCAAAAATCATAACATAGATATCATTGAATCTTTTTCCTTTGAAAATGATGTTAAATTTTAAATCAATAACTAAACACTCATACTTTTTGTATAAAACAAACAAATTTCTATCACATAATTGACTAATACTTAGCAAGTTATAACTCAAATTATCAATCAAAAGAACATTATGAATAAAAATCTCATCATTCTTGCTAACATCTCCTACTCCAATTGTTTTAAGTTTCATATCATCTCCAAATGTCACTTTGCCACTTGATTTTGGCTTAAGTTTGACCAGTCATGTGTCTTGAGCATCCACTATCTACGAACCACTTTGATTCCTTAATGATGTTCACCAAGTTCATCTACTCAAGAGTTCAAGAACTAATATTTGATACCCTTTAATTTTTGGGTTCTTGAGAATTAGCATCATGTCTAACTATCCACATGCATTTCATGCCTTTTTTCATGTTTTTTCTCACATAGCAATCACTTTTCATGTGACATTTTTTATAACAAAAATTACACATAATCAAAGAGTTATTTACATGAACAGATTTAATAAATCTTACTTGTCTTCTCTTATAAATAGTAAATTTATTTGCACCAAAATTTAATTTCTTCTCATGAGTGCCAAGATAAGTTTTTTATTCATTTCCTTGAAAACAGTCTTATTTTTTATGTTGGAGTAATTTAAATTATCCATTCTTCTTTTCAAATCATTTTGTTCTTTTTTGAACATTTCACAAAGTCTTGTTTTTCTATCAAACTCATTTTGTAAATCAATCTCACCCTTTTTCAAATAATCATTTTCAGTTTTCAGCTTTTTATTTTCCTGAAAAAAATGTGCATTGTCCTGAACAAGAAAGTTAATTTTTTGTTTTAATTCCTTGTTTTTAGTATAAGATTCTTTCAAGTTTTCATGCAAATTTTCAATGAAAGGTTTAAAATTATCATCAGTTTCATCATCACTATCAAGTTGAGGGTTACAAATTGTTATCTCATCATCTCCAATAGCCATAAAAGTCAATTGAACAGATTTTTCTTTCTCTTCAATTTCATCATCGGAGTTGCACTCATTACATGTGAATTGAAAATTGTTGAATCTTGATTTTCTTTCAGCTTTCCCTTCTTTCTTCTTCTTCATTGGACACTCACTTATGTAGTATCCAAATAGATCGCATTCATAGTATTTGTCATCTTACTTTTTGTTGGTCTCATATTTTTCTTTGTTTCTTGCATTGTTCAATTGATTAGAATCTGAATTGTTAGGTCCTCCTCTTTTGAACCTCCTTTAGTTGAGGATTCTCTTGAAATTTTTGTGATGAGAGTAAATCATCATTCAGTGAAACCGAGTCATCTTTATCTTGAAATGCTTTTAGAACAATACTCCTTTTTGCTTTTGCATCTTCTTCTTCTTCTTGTACCTTGGCCTTAAGTTTCAACTCATAAGATGTTAGAGAGTTTATAAGAGGTTCAATCGGTATTGAATTCAAATCTTTTGCCTCTTCAATAGCAATCACTTTACTCTCCTAATCTTTAGACAAGACATTCAAAATTTATCTATTTTTCTCTCCTAAAAAGTATTTCTTTTCTAGAACCTCTAAATTATTAATAAGATCATTGAATGTACAATACATTTTATCAATATTTTCATGAGATTTCATCTTAAACGACTCATATTTAGTAATCAAGATAGATTTTTTTTTCTCTAACATTTTCACTGGTTTC